CCTGATTTTTGCTTTACTGCCCCCTTATCAGCAATCGGAAAAGCAGGATATGGAAAACAGAGACAGAGTAAATAAAAGCTTGAAATTTGAGCGTGCGAATCAGGCGGATATTTCTCTTTAAAGTTTGTTAAGTGATTGATGGTGATTGTCTGAATGCATTTTGGAAATAAATTTTAACATGCCTTTAGACAAAGTCAAAGTTTTATTATGGGAAATACTTGCAAGCGGTTACTGTTTTAGTCCCATAGGGTCTAGCACAGATGAATCGATTCACGCTTCATAGAAAGTAGACTAATGTCACAATTTATCTTTGTTTCGTGCACTGCTACGGATGTTGGAATTTAAGACTTGTCAAAGCTTCATCTAGTTTGTGCTTGAATGAATCAATTGTGGGCACAGAAATAACGTGTGATGGTTGAGAATTCCAGTTAGTGCACACTCTGAGGGTGAATGAATGATGCCGGCATTCTAGTCGGCATTTTGGAGCACTAATTTTAATGGGTACTCTGTCAGGTGAGTGCTAGGCATTACTTAATAATAGAGTCCGCATGCATGTCTCTAGGTACGTCATTGCATTTTTAGATGTTTTTGGGATCTTATCCCAATGTGAGCATTTTTTCAGTAGATCAGGTAACAAGACAGAGTAATGGTAAAACCAGTGGGAGATTACGCACTTATTTACAAATTAAACAATTAACTTGTGGGGAGCATAACTTATTTGTGATTAGAGTAAGGAAGACGAGATCTCTCTGACTTTACGAAATATCTGTTGAATGTGCATGGAGTATGATGAGTTAGGTGCCTGATAATGCTACTCCAAGTTATTATATCCTTTTTCGTGTTTGTGGGGGTTCATGATTAGCAGGACGGGGATGTAACCTATTTGTAAGCGCTGTACATTCTGGTCTTTTTGAGTCCTCCAAAGAAAGTTAATGGAAGAGGAACCAGTTTGCATCATTTAGCATGCTTTGAATTTCTATAGCCTCTTCAGCGGCGGATGCAGCGCATATTGTTATCTACTGGACGGGAAATTGTTTGACATTCATTTCCCTGTAAAAGTGAAAAAATTGCAGCTTTTAGAATGGACTAGTGTTGTTGAAGCACGTGAAATGCCCTCGATCTATGAAGTAATCGGGGATCAACCTACCAACGGTTGAATTGACACCATTTTCGGTAAAACAATCAAGAAACACTGATTGATCAAGACTACCGAAAGGGATTTTGTTGTAAAGGAACACCATTTTCATGATCTCGTAATTCCTGTATAAAAGTGCAATTATTAAATCAACGTTTTATTATGGGTTGCCTTCCTTGTTCCCTACGATTTTTCGCACATTTGGATTGATTTATCGATCAAAGAGCGATGAAGCATGTCAAAACTTTCAATTGTTTTCTGTCGAAATTTAAGAAATGACAATGATTCATTTAGTCTGTGCTTGAAAGATTCATTCGTTGGCATAGAAACAAGGTGAGGGAGTATGGAATCTCAGATACTTTACACTCTAAGGGTGAGTGGATGACGTCAGCACTCCAGTCGACAGTTTCAGAGCACTGATTTGAACGACTGTGCGCTGAGCTGGATGTTGGGCTACAAGATGAACGATGAACGACATAGATGACCAGGGTTCTGCATTATTTGATACACCGAAATCAAGTCCTATCGAATCCGGCGATTCTGAGTAGAGTGCAACCCTAATGATGTCAGTATTTCCACGTAAGTCTTGAAATGCAGTCCCTTGACCATCTTGATAGCTGTTATTTGAATAAGACGAGTAACGGTATCAAAAGTAAAGGGCGGAACGCGATTAGCAAATTGATGTACGTAGGTCATCTTCGGCAGATTCTGCGACAGTCCGAAATACCAAGAGTCGCTCAAACGATGTGACTGTGACTAAAATTCAGGTGATAGAATGGTAATGCCGTAGTTGCTTTATTACGAGGGGAGTTACTTATTCAGTCTTCAAATGTCAGGGATTCCATCACTTCTAAATATATACAGCAGCAGCACATATTAAAAGAAGATAATTCAGCAAAGCACCGGCCAGTCAGACAGACAGACAGACAGACACTGAACAGACTTGGTTATTCGTTGACTCTAGATAACGCATTCTGTACAGAGTGTGCCTACATTTCGTTTTTCTCAGTCCCAATACCTTCCTGATCTCTGTTGCACAGGTACTTGGAGAAAAAACGCTTGCTTTTCCCACGCTTCTTCTTTGTATCCGATCCGACTTTGCTGGAAATTCTCGGCCAGGCTTCAAATCCCCATACCATCCAGGCTCATCTTCTGTCCGTATTTGACAATATCAAAACTGTGAAATTTCACGAGAAGAACACCGATCTCATCCTCACATGTTACTCTCAAGAAGGAGAAGTCCTGGAGGTTTGTCTTCTCCCATTAAATGGTTCTTCTGCTCATTTTCCGATCTCATATTGAACAAGTTACGCTGCAGGTGAATTTTTCCTTTACAGTGAAATTGCAGCGTAAACTGAGAAACTTTCCCTGTTCTGGTAATTCGCCGTTGTGTGGTTACGACTTCAAACCCAGAATCACAGTTCACTGATTACATTAGGACAGTGTCAGACTTCATATTCAATGTGTAAAGAATGTTTTGGGGGGGTCTAAGAAACACCTTCATTCAATCTAATTAATGGCTTTTACTGTCCGGTACATTTTTGCATTGTTTCTGTACCTTATCACATCCTTCATTTTGGTCTCTACCTTCTATTTTCAGCTGGAACGACCGGTCAAAGCCGAGGGTCATGTCGAAGTTTGGCTTTCCGTATTGCTCAAGCAGGCCCAACATTCACTACATGAAATAATTCACTCAGCCTATCAGGCTGTGATGAGTACGGATTTCAATCTTTTGGAATTTTTGAATTCCTATCCGGCGCAGGTAAGGATGGATATTCGGGTCGGGATAAAAGCTGCTCTATCAATTTTATCCAAGCCGCCCTAACCTCCATTAAAATTGCCATCTTATGCACGAGTTGTTGGTAAAGTTCACTGTAGAACAAATAGCAAATTGTTGTCAGGAAGAAATATTCATTCTTGAAATTGTTAATCACATGAATTAGAAATTGATTTGGACTGGAACTGAATGTTTTCCCAACGTTAACTTGAAACGAAACGTAAAAGGTGTAGATCATTTGCGGCAATAAAGTTAGATAAGGAGAAAGGTCACCAGTTGGGAACTTGTCTCAACATATCTGCGCATGCTGTCAACGTAACATGATTGATTTACCTGTATAATAGATAAATATTGTGGAGAACAATTTACACAATCACTGTCTACCCAAGGTCAGTATGTACATGCCCTTTTTACCTACTAAGCAACAGGTTAAAGTTTTGGAATCCAGCGAATAATATCTGGGGTTTTAGTCGGTCCTAATTTATGGCTCTGCGCTCATTATGATTCAGTAGAATGCACATGACTTAATTTCATTTGGTGCCCATTGAGCTCGAAGCTAGAGTGAGAATATTTCTCAAGTAGGTTAGATGGTTGTCCGTTTGTTACTTTTTCATATAGCGAACTAAGCATCAACATCAAACCTGTTTTTATGCCCCAAACAGAATACAGTTCACCGGTACTGTAAAGTATAGAATTTTTAGGAAACTCTAAACACAGTGAAGTAATACGTCCCAAAATACTAATATTGTGTAACTTTGCGTGAGACAGATTGCTGGCGAGTTGCACATAAAATCGAGTGAGCAAACAAAGATGTGTATTTAATTGCTTCAACCTGTCGATAGATATTGTTAATTCTGACAGTCAAGAACAACGAATACGCTTCAAATTCTGTCATCCCACACTTGTTGCATTTAGACATAGTATACAGTAGTTCTCTTAATTTTGATAGTATTTCTGTTGGGCCAGTGGAATCGTTAGTTGAAGAGAGTTGAGCTCTCGCTAGGAAAGAGTTTTACCTCATAAGAAATTGATTTATTGGAAAGAAACAAATTTGATGCACAATACCTTCGGCAAACCATCATGATCTGCTTCATAACATATTGTGTACACCTGCCTTGTTCATTGCATACAAGATCGTTGCATGAATCGTACTGGTCTTTTTACTCTATGCTACACCCTGCTCCCCTCCCGACACTTTTCCAGGTCGGTCTACTCGGGATTCAGTTCATCTGGACAAGGGATGCCACAAATGCGCTGAGAAACGCCAGACACGATCGAAAAATCATGATAAAAACAGATACCGCATTTACACGTCTTCTGACCACCCTGATTCAACAAACGACCAAAGATTTGTCCACGGTGGAGCGAACCAAATATGAAACGCTTATCACGATTCATTTACATCAGAAAGATATTTTCACCGCGTTGGTAAGTCATCAAATAACGCCGGTTGTATTGCTCTTGTGAATGAAAAAGTTAGTTCGGTTACTTGGAAACGTTGAAAAAAAGAATTCTTATGACATTGTGAATATGGGATCAAGTGCAGCAAGATATAATCAGCAAAGTTCGATGTTTTATCAAACATGTAAGGCGAAAATTCCTTTACGGATTTTAGTTAATGATAAGTGCTTACTAGGTGATAAACTACCTCATTCCTACCTCAATGAAACCGCAAAAAATTGATATACCCACGTTTTATAAGTGATAAAAGATCCGATTCTATTGCATACTGAATTTTGTCGTATAAAAAACAAATGGAGTGTGAACTGAAAATTAAGGAAGCGCTGTACAGGTGCTTTGATTTGGTGGAGTCTCATCAGCAATGTGAAACCATCGACTCTCACGTACTAAATGGTCAGGTTCCGAATGCTTCCCGTAGAGGTATAACCCTGGATGGTAGTGCTTAGATGAGAGGGATGTGACGCGCGTAACAAGCTCACAAAGACGGATTTGACTCTATCATGTGTAGAGGCGATTTTATAAGCGTTCTGATCAGGTCGAAACAGCCGTCCAATGATTCCTAGCTTTTCAGTTCCTGATTCATTCGCTCTGTAGATGACGAAATTCACCATTCAAAATTCTTTTTGACTTGGATGGTATGCTCTCTAAAAACCTTTTCACACAAATGGCATGGGTGAATGTCTTTCTCTCGACTTCTATCGCTCTAGCCAGCCTTTCACCGGAGGCTTTGCAACAAAACCGGTTTTGTTAAAAACCATATTTTTCTTGAGATTGGTGCACTTCAAACTATGTTCACTCAAGTCATACTCAAGAAATCATACCGAAAATTTGCACAATTCGTAAACAGTTCTTTTTCACCTCTGAGTGGATGGAAGCCTACCTGACCCAATGTTAGTCCGTCTGCCCCACTCTTCTGTCTGTTTGCTAGAATGATAATTCATGGTTGCCAAGCCCACCCACAGTCTTTCATACTCCTATTTCTGTACTATTTGCTCCTGATAATTGCAGTTCTTGGTGGTTGTGTTTCGGGAATACATTACTACATAACTTCTGATAGTCATGGCCTTATCTTACTCCATGGTCATTTTGTTTCTTTCCTAGCTGTTCAACCAAATGAATATTCAAAGGACAATGAGCAAACCTAGTGCATGGAAGTGCAAGGTTGATTGTTGGCATTCCGCTTGATAATGACCCGTCGGGAGGGGGGTAGACCTCACTGTGTCATATATGCATATGTATTGAATAAGAACATTGCCGCGTTTACATTTACCCCATTTCAATACATTTGAATTCTGTACCCAGGTTGTTCTGTTCTATTTCAGGTAAAAGATCGGATTCGTTCACCGACAGACTTTGAGTGGGTCAAACAGACACGTTTTTACTACTTAGAAGACTCCGACAAATGTTTGATCTCTATCACGGATGTCAATTTTATCTATCAGAACGAATTTCTCGGCTGTACAGAACGGCTGGCAATTACTCCACTAACAGATCGGTGAGTAGTCTATTTGATTTAAGTTTATCTCACGGGGACTAGAGAAACAAAGACGCCTAAAATGGCTGAATACTGAAGCTCGCGATCGAATTCTTTAATGTTGGATATTTTGTGTGCTTAGGAGAATAACGATAAATGTATACTCATTAGGAATAAAAGCAATAATGAGAGTACGTGATATTCGGGAGGGGGGGGAGGGGAGATTTCAAAAGCAGGAAGTCTCTGCCGGATCAAACAAGGGATGTCACAGACCAAAAACACAAGCATGCTATTCGCGTGAAAAGTGAACACCTGATCGACTGTCTGTCTTCCAGTTACAGTGCCATATATATTTCAATGATGATTTCCCTTTCCGTTTATCAATCAAACCTGACTGACTAAGATACGAAGTTTGAATGCTATAGGCGATATATTGTACTGGTCGGTTTCACTATGTGCCCACAGCTTTTCAGTCACAAGAATGATACCTCGAGGGAGCAAAACAATCTAATTATTTTTTTCCAGAAAATACTACCCAGTCTCGTTTGGTTATTTGAATCAAAAAGCACCACGTGGTTTGCTTTCAGACAGGCCTGATTTTCAGATGCAAAAATCCACATTCAGCCATGCACAAAGTTTTGTTTCCTTGAATGTCTTCTGTTTTGAAATGTCATCATAAACCTCTAAATCACTCATTCCGGTTTGTATTTCTCCCGACTTTATTTCCTCTATAGCTACTGACCCACTAACTCGTGTTCACCAATGGCGCTTTCCTTTAATGCGCATACACTGTTCTTGTAGCCTGCCTCTAATGCTTTGGTCAAAGAGTTATTAGTACTTTTATTCCAGGATTTTTCCACATACGTCACCATCTGATCCAAACTAGGCTTCAATTTAGTCATTCATTTCTGAGCACAGATCGTCTTTAAAAGAATTATTTATCGAGATATCAAAAGTCTGAAGATATGAAGTCAATTCTGTTGGGATCATTATTTGATCTTATCTGGTACGTGATATCTGAATCCCAGATTAGCAGACCTCTTCGACCAGTTCGCGAACTGGATCGAATAACATCTTGTACAGCTGATTGCGTTCATGAGGCTTTTTCGGTCTCGAGAACATAAATACCTGAAACCCTTTTCGATCTTTAACTTCATTCCCTTAAGGTTTGGAATTCTCTCCATCCAAATAAAGTGCCCAAATCGCAAGTGCTTTTGTAGACACTGGACGGAATGCAGATCGGTAAAGCAACCGTCCGATCAAATGGGATTTTTACGATCCTAGGCCCATAAGCACATCGGTTTCATTTATGACAATCATTTTTGGAAATTTTGAGATCTGGACAAATCTATACTAGCTACAAAATACTTGAATTTCAATTCATATTTTCCGACTTCAGCATACTGCAAAATGAGAAATCTTGTCTATCGTCTGAAGGAATGCATTCATGCAGAGTTTTGATACGTTTAACTCTCTTCTAATCATATCAGCGGGGGGAGCCGTTGCTGGGTAAACACTCAAATATCAATCAGGCCTACAGCCGAATTCTTTACTCACTTTTTAACAATCCATTCACAGAAGAGGATGTCTTCCATTTTAAGAGTAGCGAGCTTGGATTAGCCCATTAGATTGTTAAGAGGCACCAGGCATTCTTGCTTTTCTGACAGGGACAAAACAGTTACGCACTGCTGACGAGTCCCAAACAGGACGAAACAGCTATTCAGTTCTCTTTGTTGGTCATCACAAACATTTCCATAGCATGTAAAGGATGTCTTGCAGTTCAAAAAATATTTTTTACCGATCTGATTCACAAATTCACTTCTTTGGATTTTCTTCATTCACTTGCTGAATAAGGTTATCGTACGATGCTCGCCACTTTCGTATTATTCAGAGATCAAGCCTGTTTATCATTTTAGAGAGCCTCGAGGTGCTTTTCCCGGTGGTCTTTAATGATTCCTTTCTTTTAATCGGCAGAATAGTTTCTCCATTATGCACTCATCTTGTCGGAGCCTCAGAATAGCAATGTCTGAAGCATCCCATTAGTGACAATACTAAATGAAGATTAATGCGACCAGCGATCCTGAAAAATTATAAATCCTGATTTCGATGACAACCACAAAAGTGAAGACGAACTGGCGGCTTCAAACTCCTTCCTGTTCATTACCAGGTACCCATTACTGATGTCTATACTCCAACTGACCAGTAGATAACAAGCCTCACACTCATGCACCGGTTCGTCTGTGTAGCATTTATGTTAGCTCTCCACTGGCTTGTTTTGGCATTTTGTTGACTGAGGCCGACCGAACAGTAGTTACACCTGGTGGCCTCAGGCAAAAAAAAAATAAATAAATCACCCCTACTACCGTTGCTTCATAGACGAATTGGTGCATGAAACACCTGCATTTGATTATGACGCCTTGCTGTTGGGGTCAGGTTTTCGCAGATCAGGCGGCAAGTGCTCCACAGTCAAATTTTTTGATCGGTCTGACCTCGCCAGACTAATTAGTTTATCTACAACTTATCGAATCACGCGATAGCAAAATTTCTCAACTATGGTTCATTTTTGCTGTAGAGCTTATGTTCCAGCATCCTGAAACTTATGCCAGGGCTTATCTCTGTGGCAGGTCTTATGACCGGATGCACACGGTTTATGTATCCTCTAAGGATGACTGGATATTGTTCAACGTTACTCGTGAGTAGTCAATCTTTAAAAGTTAAATTATATTCGAGCACCCGTGCACAACCAATAAAAATCAAAAAAGACGTCTTCCCCATTATCCCCAAAGTGCTGAAACAGGCGGTTTATTTTGTCCAATATTTTAATTGAGACTATTTGTGGTGGATTTACCAAAGGTAATTGACGGACACTAGTGCTTTGCATAAACCATTCACATTTCATCTTGTCTTCAAAACCGTTTACCGCATGATGAACATGAACACACACCTGGTTTCGAATTACGACACGTAAATACACCAGTGTCACTAGCGCAATCCTTCCTTTCACGGTTATCCCGGAATGCAGCGCTGAACGTTTATTGATTAGTTCACCAACAGGTGGACTTATGAAATCCTATCTGTGTGTTTAAACGCTCTGGAATCCTATACCTTCGAAGAAGCACATTGTGTTGAACAAAGATCCGAGCAGCATGAATAAGGAAAGGGGTTATGTTCCGCGCATTTGTTTTAGGAATACTGTTCAACTTTTCCCTTATCAGACATCTTCATGAGAGTTTCTTTTGGATTTTACGTTCAAAAGTTGTGTAACCTATTACCTAATTCTGTACTGATGTAGTTACATCCCCTCATTTTCTTAACTTTGTATCGCAAAAGAAACCACATCTGATTCACCATTGAATTCCTCCTGATCACGTTCGCAGTTGTTACATCACTCTGGCTCAAGCTCTAGGCATGTCTATGGGCGGTTCGCCTGCAGGACCGGCAGGAACTGGGAAAACGGAGACTGTGAAGGACATGGGTCGATGTTTGGGGAAGTATGTGATCGTGTCCAACTGCTCAGACCAGATGGATTATCGCGGCCTCGGTCGGATTTTCAAAGGCCTTGCTCAGTCCGGTTCGTGGGGTTGTTTTGATGAATTCAATCGGATTGAATTGCCCGTCCTTTCCGTGGCCGCACAGCAAATCGCAATTGTGCTCACTTGTAAGAAGGAACGCAAGACACAATTCTTGTTCACTGATGGAGACACAGTGGATATGAATCCGGAGTTCGGTATTTTTCTCACTATGGTCAGTTCCACGTAAATCCTTCTGCAACCCACCGGTTGATTCATTGAAATGGCAACGAACGAAGCGTGACTTCTGTGACCTCAATGGTTGCTGAATATTCACCACGGCATAAAGTAACTGGTTGAATCGACTTGACTCCATTTGCATATTATTATCGTTGTCATACTACCGGTCGCGCATATGTATGAAACTCCCGTTGCAACTTCGTCAGTAAACCCCTTATAATTAAAGGGATAAGAAACAAAGGACAAAAGCCGCATTCTCTTTCTGGGTGCATAACCATTAACTATGCACTTTCGCGCGCCAATTTTAGTTGCTGTCTTTTGGCTGCGTACTTGGATGAACAGAAGGAGAAAGACAAGAAAGTTGAAATTAGAGTCGAATAGAAAGCGCATATACTTGACTTGAATAATTCCAAGTCATTACGATCGTCTTACTACTGTCTGGGATTTCTACACTTGCCATAATTAAGTCACCAATAATTTACTTCGTACTCACAACCTGTCAGTCGTTTGAACTTGACGGATGTCTCGCTCCCCCCTCTAATCTAAGCGACTTCCAATCTTCCGAGGCAGGGAAAACTCCTCCTTCTTAAGCTTTCTGCTCAAATGATTCCAATAGTACTCAGTAGGAGAAAAATAGTGAAAATCAGTAATCCAGTTCATATATCCTACTGACTTATGTGATGGTGAAACTTTACACGTATGGAGCGCAGTACGGATGAATGGAAATTGTGACCTTGTCTTGTTATACAGAAGTGACAGTGCTGAGGAATATTGTCCTATTCTGAGAGACAACAAATATTTTTTTTTAATTGCATCATAACTAAACAAATGTTCAGTACGAAATTAGATACCAACTCCTCATCGTGAAAAAATCCCTTCGTGAATTCAAAACCGTTTCCATACGACTAATGCTATGACCAGCGCACTCACTAGGCATGACCCTTATTGAATATGTGTGGGATTGTTCGTGCGGAAAGGCTAAGAAGGACTAAGTTTTTTGTTGCTAATAAAACCCTGGCACCCTCTGCTACCGGACCATCAGAGCAGGTGTTACACAGCGATGGACTAAAACTTGATGAAGCTAGACTCGGTAATTTACTACCACTTCAGTTTTGTCCCAGTGCTTGAATATTATAGGGTTCTTTCATTATTTTCCAATGATAGTCCGACAAACACTGAAGATTAATCGGATTCTGTCATCAATTTATTGGATGAATCGATAGCAACAAAGGACGTGACCCTATCCTAATGAGTACTGTGGGAAACAAATACCTTGCTGATTGACTCGAGTCTTTAGCATGACCGACAGGCTCTTACTGTGCTCAACCGGAGTGCCTTCATCACACAGCCGGACGGCAGTTACCAACAGGAGCCTCATAAACTGGTTACCAGGCAGTTTATTGTCAGTGTGAGCGATCATACGTAGCGAAAATTGCGGAAATTATTCATAAATATCCTAACATGGATCCGAGATGGTAGATAGTCCCTGTGGAGGTGGGGACCCAGGGGTGAGAGCGCAACACGATCGGGATCGAACGAATACCCACGCTCCATATACCGCAAAAAATCTGTCTCAGTAAATGTGACCAAATGGCAGTCCATTCAGGTAGTCCATTTATTCCCATTACTTAATTCAGTTCGCACCTTTCATCAACTGCCAACACTGAACACTTGGCTTGAATCGTTGCCCCACACAGTCTGTTGTTTTCAAGAGAACATAACTTTCAACATCGGCTAAATTATTCAAGCAGTAATATTTATGCAAATCCTGCGAAAAAATAAGTAAGTATATTTTCAATTTCGTTTATATTTCCTTTTTTGTCTGCCTGCCTTCGTGTTCAGAATCCCGGCTATGCTGGAAGACAGGAGTTACCTGAAAATTTGAAGATCAACTTCCGCACGGTTGCCATGATGGTCCCCGATCGGCAGATTATTATTCGTGTCAAATTAGCTTCTTGTGGTTTCAATGATAACATCAATCTGGCTCAGAAATTCTACACATTGTACAAGTTGTGCGAGGAGCAGTTGAGCAAACAGGTAAGCTATTTCAGTATGGTTATAATTTATATGGAAAAATTAGAAAATTTGTAAGTGAGAGTGCGATTCAAAGCAGCTTATTTCGTCCGAGCAAAGGAGAACATCAGTGTGAAAACAGAATCAGTATCACATACAAAAAAATGGTTGTAGCATAACTGAAGGACAACACTCACTCCACACACTTTCCAAGTGAGCCTGTCATCGTAATTCTAAATATCAACCTAAGCACAACAAAAAGACAAAAAAAGGAACGCATAAGTGAACATGAATAAACTGGACATTAGAAAAACACGTTATATCGGAGAAAAGCCGTCCCGGTGAGGCATCATCAATAGATAAGCGGAAACGCAAATCCAACAGTAAAGTGTTCCACAAAATATTGCAGTCCAAGAAAAAATTACAGAAAGCATCACAGGAAATCGTAATTCCATTAAAAAAAAGTAAGAACTGATTCACATAAGAGAATTAAAAACGAACTTAACCACGAACAAAACAAACAATCTAAGTAAAAAAAGAAAATAAAATATATTGCTGAACCATGAATGCATTATTATTCAAAAGCCGCTGGAGTGTTGAACATCAACGCCAAAATCTGAAATGATTCGGCGTGCTTCTAAAACAATCAACAAACGGCTCAATATAGGATTTCGCAAATAGTGGAGCGAACGTGAGCGATCGGTTTTATCCGTGTAATCCTACATAGCCTGACGGTTAGTTTAGCTGATCATGGAGAACAATTCGGTGATGAGTGGTTGAAAACAGTTCGTGTGGTCCTGGTCGAATGCGGCTGAGGGTCACGCGACAAGCGACCAAGTGTGATTGATAGCACACTTCTTTCTCTCTCTCCTTCTCTCTCCTTCTCTCGCTTTCTTACTCATCGCCCACTTCCTCTCGATCTTCCACGCCCAATGTGAGTGTTTGTTTGTTTCTTAGTTCCCTTTCGTACTGGCTTTCGTGCGTGTATGCGTGCGTGCGTGCGTGCGTGCGTGCGTGCATGCTCGCGTACGCGGATGCATGCGTGTATGCGTGCACGGTCTGAATGAGTTAGTCGTCGAACCTATTGCAC